GTGGTACTTCATTGTTTTAATTTGCATTTCTCTTATGACTAATTAGGAACATTTTCTCATATGTTAATTGGCCATTGGGATTTCTGCCCTTGTGAAAACTTCTGTTCGGGTCCTTTGCCCACCTCCTCAGTGGGCACTCCCCCGCCCCCCTTATTGTATGCTAGCAGAGTACTGTAGATTTTAGTAACAGGGCCTTTGTCTGATGTGCCGTTGCTAAAGATGTTTTCCCAGTCGGTGGGCTCTCTTATTATTCTCTATTGGCAAGTTCTTTCAAATTACAAAGGTGTTTTATCTTTAGTGTGTGCCTCCTGTGTTTGTGTCCTTCCCTATTTCCAATAGCCAATGTATTCCCTGAGTCAAAGTTCTCAGGTTTGTCCCAGTTCCCTCATCGATGGCCCTAATAGTTTTGAGTTTTACCTCAAGGTGCGTGACCCAACTTGAGTTTATTCTTGTGCATGGAATGAGGTGAGGGTAGGCCTTCAATTTTCTGCAGGTAGACATCATTTCTTGTGCTATTGTTCTTTCCTGTGTGAACCATAATTGACTGTTTCTGCAGCATCATCTTGTAACTGTTAGTGTTGGGAGTGCTGTTGGGTCACCTGGGAGAACTTAGCTTTGACCTGGTGTGGCAGGGGGATGATTTGGGGGCGTTCCTTGTTGGTGGGCAGGAACAGCCAGGGTCTTCCTGCCCAGGCACAGGGCCCCCCAAGATCTTCCTTACTGTGGGATGAGGATGACCAGGCCCTTCCTTGCAGAGGTGAAAGGACACCTGAGGCCTGCCTTATTGGGTCTTTAGGACTACTGGGGAATTCCCTGCCAGGCACTGGGATGGCCGAAGCCAGGGATAGCTGGGCCCTTCCTTGCTAGGGGCAGGGGGATTCCTGGGACTTTCTTTGCAGGTGAGCAGGGACACTCACATGACTTTTGAGGAAGCCCTGGTGGTGTAGTGGTTATGTGTTGGACAGCTAACCTTAAAGTCAGAAATTCAAACACACCAGCTGCTGAGAGAAAAAGGTGAGGCTTTCTGCTTCCATAAAGATTAACTCTCAGAAACCCTATAGAGGGTTGTTGCGCTGGAAAAGACTCAACAGCTGTGTGTTTGTGTGACTTTTGTAGTTCTCACAGCGACCTTAAACTACAAAGATATAAGTCTTCTCTGGCTAGATGACTTCTAACAACTAGCGGAGAAAAGCACCATCATTGTACAACAGGAATTCAATGCAGAAGGTTTGATGCCATTTTATTTTTTTCCGACATAATATTTAAAATAAAAAATTTAATGGAAAATTCCTGGTTTCATCATGTCACATTAATGGCAGCAGTACCTTAAATGTATATCCAGGAAGCTGATTACAGCCCACTAGTATTCACTTTCTCAAGTCATCAACAATTTTGCACATATAAGATGTTATGCTTTTTTTTTTAAAGCAAATAGTAACATTTTAAATTTTTTCATGTCGCTTTTGGGACACCTAAAATCAAGTCCTATGTTAATTAATACTTAGATAAATGGCTTCATGGTACTAAGCACAATGTATTACAACTTAAAATCATTTTTAAAACTCTGACATGACAACTCTCAGGTTTAATTCAAAAGCTTAAGACTCCTGAATCTACTAAGATTGTTAATTCAATGTATGTATCAATTATTTAGTTTTTATTTCTCTTGGAAGAATTAATTCCCATTGTACAGAGTGAATCTCTTCAAATGTTAATAAATATATTACAGTATTTTAAAAACATTCTTAAATAATGGGCAGTGGTAGAAAGATTATGATAGAGACAAATGGAGGATAGAGCTCAGAAGAGAGGAGGGTGACAGAGCAGGAATGGTCATTCACAGATGCTGTAAGACATAACTCCAAGCCAGCCAATGTGTTGGTTTGTGTTATAAAGACGTGCCTAAAACAGACTAGGCTAAGGACTTAAAAACCAAGCTCTCCAAACTCTTAGTGAATTACCCAATGGAATTCACCTGATTTAGTTGAAGTATTGAAGGGAAGATTAAATTTAAGAATTGATTTTGACACCCAAAAGCAATCAATGCTGATTCGATTTCTATAGCTTTTACTGTGCTGTGTGCCCTTTGCCTCCGTAGTATTTTCTACAAAATGTTCCATGAGGGCATTTTGCCCCACTGACCACCTTCAAGCACTTTAAAAATCCTGTTTAAGTTACTGACGACTTTATGGGGGGGTAAGTAAAAAAATATTGCTAGAAATTCTTGGAAATCTTTATTAAAGAAAATTATCAAATGTGAGCGACTGTCTCACGACATGTCCTCAGTACACTACTGAAGATGGTGTTTCCATCTAAAACTTACCCAAAGAATTCTGTACTCTTTGATTTACATACTGTGTTCCTTTTAACTGTTCTTTGAGTTTGGGGAAGAAAAAAATCTGAGTGAAAAATTCAGGGCTGAAATTTCTCGTACAGCAGTCAAGGCTAACTTCAAAGAATGAACCACCACATTACTGTGATGGGATTAAATAAAATTCCTTGGTCCAACTTCCCTTGTGTTTTAGTCACTGTAGCAATTTTTAATTTTATTAAAACTTCTTCCTAATAAGTCCCTTTATCTTCCTGCATCCTTTGAGAAAGCTTATCAAGATAATCTTTTTGGAGTTTCTCAAAATAGTCACAACTTTCTTAGCCCACTTCTCAGACCTGAATTTAACTGCATCAGCACATCCAGTTGGAAGCCACTGTTTTGATTGAACATTTTCCTCTGGATTGTATTGGTAAGTTCAATACTTGTCTCCATTATGATGCGCTCCATAAAGTTGACATTATTAGGTTTGATACTACTTAAAAGACTAAGATTAGCTCTTTGAGCCAGTTGATTTTTATGTACAATACTTTTGGCACCTATCCAGCTGGTAGCTGGCTGACACCAAGATATTTGCTTACAATGGAAAATACAAAAGCACGTGAGATCCCCAGCAGTAGCTATTACATGAACTCTATGATCTTCTATCCGTTTCTGGAGTTTAGCCAGTTACTTCATTCACTATGGCTGGTGAAATCTTCCCTCGACTCATCTTTGAGGTTTTCTTAAAATGGTTGATCAATCTAAAAACTTGTTTATGTTGGGCAGCATTCCTGTAAATTTCAGGAAGACGGCCACTTGAGTTCTGTTAAAATTTACCAGGACACCAAAAAAAATCTTTTATTTTCTTAAGACATCCTAATGAGACTAAGTGGATTACTGAGAGAACTTGTCTGCAGTTATCCAGTGATCGCAGACATGTTTCAGCAGACTGTTTGGAAATAAACCCATGAATATATGAAGTGGAATCCTAGCAACAGTACTTTTTGACTTACCTTCAAATATTTGAATGTTCTAATAAACTTAAAGAAGTGAAACAAAAGATTTACTGGATGTCTGCAATGTGACTGTTGATGAGTTCTCACTTTTAGGATTTAGTGTTGGATGTTTTATTAAAAATAGTGTCATTGTTTTTAAAAAGCACAATATCTATAAACACCATTACCTCACACTTTAATTCCCTCCTGGTCTTTTAAGAAACCCAGGCCTAGGGTCATTAAATGTGTAGATCCACATACTGATCTGGATATAAGGTTCCATTAACACCTTTAAATTGTTTTATAAATGAGACTCACTCAATAAATGTTTAAAAACCCTTAAACAAGAGTTTTTGAAATAATCTAAACAATTACATAATTCATAATGACCCACCTTTACATGCAAATACAGACTGCTAACATGCATGATTTTAGTCAGGTGGCAGAGTTTATTTCCTAAGTTAAATTTTAACTCAGTTACTGAATTGTTGATTTCAACTCTCTTTAAAAACTACTACCAGAGCAGTTTTGAGGTATATTACTGTTAATTTAATATAGAAACGTATCAGTATATTCTGATGTGGTTTAAAATGCCTGTGTCATGCCTCTTATTAAATGGTGCTGTTGTAGTGTTTGGTTACAGTGTTGGCTACAGATGTATACGGGTGCTGTTTGAAATTATCATTTTGCATGTGCATTAACCGTTTTTCCAAACATAAATGACAATTTGGCTGGTTGGTCTCTTCTAAGTATGCCAAAATAATAAAGTACAGTCTATGCTATTTACCAAGCAAGCTGAGGTTTCAGGAATACAAATCTACCCTCCAAGATAGCTTGATAAAAAACCCAATCTAGTCATCCAACTCAATTACAAGCCAAACTATTGCAAAAAAGCATCTGGAAAGCCTGTCAGGAGGTGATTTTCTTGTAACTTTAAAATAGCTAAGCAATCTTTAAAATTCATTTATAAAAATAAATAAATTCATTTTGTGATGTTAGGTGCCAAACTGTAACTTAGTTACGAAAGGTGTATGATAAAGTTAAAAATGCAATTAGAATGTCCAAGCTCCAGCACAGTGTGGTTGGGGCAAACACATTGTGCTCCCACAACTCTTGTCATGACTAGCCATAACACGCCTGTCTTCTTGACAGGCTCTTAATCTTCCTTGTCTCAAAGCTCTCACAAAACTCTTATTCTTAAACTCCAATATAAAAATACTGTTAACCACGATGCAGCCAAGAGAGGGCATGAAAATGTGCTGTCCAAACAAAATGAACTGATAAATTTTCCTGGAGCAAACACAACAGCTTAAAGGAAACAGTGGCCTATTTAGGTGCTTAGACAACACATAGGTGTTTCTCTACAATGCTGGCATAAATCCCCCTGTTTTACTCTTTACCTCAGAGCAACAGTTTGATAGTGTTAGAAAATTATCCTAGGCTGTGTGCTGTGAGATAGCCTGGTCTTGCCTCTAAACATGTCTGGCATCGGGGTCACAACATACAACAAAAGTGAACACTGTCAAGTGGAGTGTCAATATGACTTACTGCATAGACTATGCTAACACTGATACCTAGTTAGACTGATTTCTTATGTAATCAGCTTTTTGCCTTAGTAAAAAAAAATTGAAGAAACGTGAAGAATTGAACTAAGGAAAGAAATTCTGGATTCCAAATCCACACACATACGCAAGCAGGTTTCAAAGTATTGTTTTCTCTCAGTGCAAGTAAGCAGCTAGGTCAGCCTGTCACATATCATCCATCAATATGGCATTCAGTCTGGGGACAATTTGATGCAGCAACAATCGGATCAGAAGCAAGTCCAACTAACCTATTTAAATCAAACTAGAGAGAGGAAGCTCACTGTTCTTATTCATGGGCACTGATACGGAGCACAAAGCAAAGGCAGAATGAGCTCAGATCTCCTTGATAGTCCTCTCTGACGGGCAATACTCTGCAGGACCTGGCGAGGACACGTGGAGGGACTGTGGTTTTCTTTTTAAGCGGGCCCTTTTGCTGGCCAACACCAGGCTACGCCGGCTTGAACTGATGATTTCCGAAATGAATTTCTTGCAGTCTACACACACCTCTGTAGTGCTCCAATCCTCCATCAGCTCTTTAGGAAAGTGTAGTTCTTCATCTGATTTGTCAACAGACTTTGATTTTGAGGAGAACCTGAAAGGGGGTGGGGTGTGGGGGGGAGAATCAGACCACCCAGTATCATCATTTACAGTTTCAATGCAATACTACTAAGAGCATATGCAGAAAAATGGTATCTGTTAACAAAACATATGGAATGGTTGAGATTTTTAAATGTTATAATTTCTTATATGCTCTATTATGAAATAATAGTTCAGAAAACTCATAACTCTTCTAGATTTTTTTTGGAAATAGGGTATATTTACTCTTTATTACTTTATATATACACACATGCACTCACAAGCAGATATACCTGAGATATTGTTGGTTCCGTTCCAGACATGGCAATAAAGTGAGTACCATTATAGTTTCATAGATATTTTAGTTTCCTGGTATATATAATTGTTGAATTTGCACTACACTGTCGTCTATTAAACATGCAATGGCAATATGAGAAAGTTTTAAATGTTCTGACAATTACCAAAATGTGACACAGAGACATGAAGTGAACACAATGTTTGAAAATGGTGCTCAGACTTTTTCGACTCAGGGTGTCACAAATCTGATTTGTTAAAACACACTGGCTGTAAAGCACAAAGAAAACATGGTACGCTTGTACATATGTGCGTATACGTGAGTTTTAGCAGCCGAATGGAAATTAAGTCAATGTTAATGTTCCATTGATGACTCAGAAGGGACAAAGTTCTCTCCCTCAGTGATCCAAGGACCCAGTGTCAGAATCAACCAACATTTTAAACTAAAACTCACTGTCACTAAGTCAATTCCAACTCTTAGCTCCCCACAGGGCAGAGTAGAATTGCTTGTTTGGCTTGCTGAAACTGTAAATCTTTATGGAAACAGACAGTCTCATCTTTATATCGTGGACCGGCTGGTGGGTTTGTACCACTGACCATATAAAGTTAGCAGCTGAGTGTATAGCCTACTATGCCATCAGGAATTATATAATATAAAAGGCAGATCAAACTACAGGAACATGAAGTAATTTTATGTGATCCTATGACATCTCCTGAAAATATCTTTTGACTAGGTTTCTTGTCATTCATTTATATCCAATATTCCTCCATTTACCAGTAATTCTCTGTATTTGGGTAGTTGACTATTTGTATTCCAGCCAGCCACAGCTAACTAGCTCAACATTTATTTACAAACTGATATATTGAATTACCTAAAAATTCACTATCTTAATTAAACCACACAAGAATGTGACTGGTAATAAGAAAATCATACAAGCCATCATTAAACAAAATTATCAAAATGTGAAGCTATTGTTTATCCTACACACTTTTGAAGGTGGTATTTTCTTTTCTTTTTTTTAACTTAGATTTATATTGTTTTTTTTTAGATCATTTTATTAGGGGCTCATACAACTTATCACAATCCATACATACATCAATTGTGCAAAGCACAGTTGTACATTCATTGCCCTCGTCATTCTCAAAACATTTGTTCTCCACTTAAGCCCCCGGCATCAGGTCCTCATTTTTTCCCCTCCCTTCCCCTTCCCCCCTCCCTTATGAGCCCTTGATAATTTATAATTATTATTTTGTCATATCTTACCCTGTCCGACGTCTCCCTTCACCCACTTTTCTGTTGTCCGTCCCCCAGGGAGAGGGTCACATAGAGATCCTTGTAATCGGTTCCCTCTTTCCAACCCATTCTTTCTCTACCCTCCCAGTATCGCCACTCACACCACTGGTCCTGAAGGGATCATCCGCCCTGGATTCCCTGTGTTTCTAGTTCCTATCTGTACCAGTGTACCTCCTCTGGTCTAGCCAGACTTGCAAGGTCGAATTCGGATCATGATATTGGGGGCAGGGAGGAAGCATTTAGGAATTAGAGGAAACTTGTATTTTTCATCGTTGCTACATCGCCCCCTGACTGGCTCATCTCCTCCCCGAGACCCCTCTGCAAGGGGATCTCCAGTGGCCTGCTAATGGGCTTTGGGTCTCCACTCCGCACTCCCCCCATCATTCACTATGGTAAGATTTTTTTGTTCTGATGATGCTTATACCTGATCCCTTGAAGGTGGTATTTTCATCCCTCTACCCTTTCACCCAAAGAATTATGTACCCTTCTATTTAAACCATGCCAAAATGGCTGTTTTTAGCATCTTCCAGGGATTCAGAGCATGTTCCTTTTAAATATTCGTTGAGTTTAGAAAACAAAGAGAAATCTGAAGGGGAAAGATGAGAGCTATAGGCTGCAGAGGGTAAAGTTTCCCAATAAAATTCTAATTGAAAAGAATAAAAACTTCCTCAGTGAAACTTTCCTGTCTCACCAGTGTAGTTTTAACATTCTTAAAACTTATTCTGAATAAGTTCTTAAACTTTCCCTCTATACTTCAAGAAAATAGAATAATATTAGCTCTTTGGAGTCCCTACCACTTGTCAGTGTGTTGTACTGTGATAGCGTTAATGTTGCTATGATGCTGGAAACGATGTCACCGGTATTTCAAATGCTGACAAGGTTACCTACAGTGAATAGGGTTCAGTGGAGCTTCTAGGCTGAGAATAGATGACAAAGAATAGGCTGGACACTTTTGAGGAATTAGCCTCAGAAAATCTTATAGACAAAATCAAAACATTGTCAGATACTGAAATTCATGAACAGAAGTTGTAGATAGTGCCAAGAGATGACGCTCTCAGGTTGCAAGGCACTCAAAAAATGACTTAAGACGAGCTGCCTTCTCAAACTAGAGTTATGGATAGATAATGATATGGATAGAGAGTTATGGCTGTGAAAATGAAGCTTTTGGGACTTTTATTGCAGATGCGGCACAAATCAAAAGGAGAAACAGCTACAAAAATCCACTCTTGGGGATTCTGGGGAAGATGGCGGAACAGGTGAGCCACATACTCAGAGAGCTCTTTCAAACGGGGCGGGTTTGGTGTCCAGGTAGCCGGGTAGGAGGAGTCTGGTAAGTGAAATATCCCCCTGGGACAGCACCCCACTCCCACCCCACACATTAGTCCTGAGCCGGGGCCTCAATGATCCAGGATCCGATTCTTGGGACATCTCGGGTCATCAGGCCGCCGCCACCGCGGCCACAACTAACTATAGCCCCATTCCACCCTCAGACCGGGACCCCGCGCCCAGTCGCTTGGCTGCCCTGCCGAGACACGTGCAGCAGTGGCGGGATCCTCTACAGCAGCTGCCCACTCGTGGGAACCCACTAGGAGAGGTTTCCCTTTCCTGCAGTTCCCCTCTCCTCATGAGGCAGCCATCTGCCCTTGGGCCCGGGTCCCTCCCTCCATTAACCTAGGGTCTGTGGACCTGACCTGCAATCCACCGGTGGCTGCCAGGGCGACCTCCACAGGGGATGATCCACCCCCACTGCTGCCTGGGACCACTTCACTAGCACCCGTCAGCTTAACTCCCACTCCACTCCCTTGCCTGGGAAACTGCGCTGTGCATTTCCTGCAGGCGCAAGCCTGCGGCCGGAGCCCATTCCGTTTCCATCCACTACACTGTGTTTCTGCTGGAGCCACTGTGGACCTTGTGCCCGCGGCCCGGAGCGCTGAACCTGCCCCTCCCAGTTCAGCGTGTGGAAACAGCCTAAGTTTCCATCAATAGACAAGTAGATTAGTAAACTCTGGCACATACACACAATGGAGTGCTTATGCAGCACTGAAAGCACGGACGATCACATGAAACACGTTGTTTCGTGGGAAGAGCTGGAAGGAATCATGTTAAGCGAGGTAAGCCAATCTCAAAAGGACAAGTATAACATGAGTCCCCTGAGGTAAGTACAATCAGCACGGCAGGAATAGAAGAATAAACACTTATCTTGCAATAAACGGGTGGAAGCATAGATAGTTGGGACCCAGGGAGGTACAGCAGAGTCTAACATAAAGAAGGGGGAGGGGGCCAGAGGAGGGAGAATCGGGGTGGGGAGAAACTGAGTTGATGACACTGGGGGATCAGGGCATTAATCCACACGGGAGAGTATTGGTTGTGTCCCCACAGAATTGGAATGTGCATGCAGACCCCACCATGACGCCACAAACCAGGAGAGCAACGTTAACACGTGGAGGAATCCACCAAAAGACTGGACCATATACCAGACTCCAACCAGAATCAGCCAGACCCCCACCATGGAAGGGAGTGCCACAGAAAATGAAAATACATCATGTGGTGAGGAAAAGGAACTGACCTACCATACCCAGAAGGAAGCTGAAGCAAATGCTGGGGGAGGAAGGGAGTGGAGCACACCAGGGCCCACCAAGCTCAGAGGACGATAGCCCCACTCGGAGCAGCCAGTACACAGAGGACCATATGGCCCGCCCCACTGCAAGATGCAACATCCTGCACTGACCCATGGCCCTACACGGGACAGCGCCATAGACAGTGTGGGATGTGAGACCGAGCTGACCCCACCACACTGAGGCAAAACACTAGGGGCGTGCAGTAGAGCCAGGCTGAGGGAGTATCAAGGATGGACTTTGGGGCCAGGGTGTGGCACCCCATCAGAAAACACTCCTAAAGGTCAACAAACAGACCTTGAACTATTAACAGGTCTGTCTGTCTTTCCTCCCTCCCTCATCTTTCTTTAGATTTTGTATGTGAGTGGCTTGTTTGTTTGTTAGTTTGTTGGTGTTGCTGCCGTTGTCGCCGTGTTCTTATGAGCCACTTTGTTTGGTGCTGTTGAGGCCATCCACAATTTCACGCGCATATTATATCTCTGCAGGTCTATCTAGGTAAGACAGGCTGGATAAACAATGTGGAGAAGAAAACAATGGAACCGATGGTCCTGAGGGGACGTGGGAGAAGGGAGGAGCTGTTGGCCACCCAGGTACAAGGGAACAATGAGTGGTTCAAAACCAGTGGCAGAGGGGATGGGAGGACTGGTAGGGAGTGACCAAGGGCAATGTAACCGAGAGGAATTATTGAAACCAGAATGAAGGCTGAACATGGTAGTGGGACAGGAGGAAAGCGTAAGGAAAATAGAGGAAAGGAGTAGGAAGCAAAAGGCATACATAGAGGCCTAAACACAGACATGTACATATGTAAATATATTTGTGATTATGGGGGGGAACAGATCTAGGTGCATATATTTATAGGTTTAGTAGTAGGGTAGCAGGTGGACATTGGGCCTACTCGCACGCATTCCCTTAATACAAGAGCACTTTGTCTTCAGCGGATCGTTCAGCTGAGCAAAGCGGGTGAATAAGCAAATGTGGTGAAGAAAGCTGATGGTGACCGGCTATCATAAAGTACAGCGTCTGGGGTCTTAAAGGCTTGAAGGTAATCAAGCGGCCATCAAGCTCAGAAGCAACAAAGCCCACATGGAAGAAGCACACCAGCCTATGCAACCACGAGGTGTCGAAGGGATCAGGTATAAGGCATCATCGGAACAAAAAATCTTACCATAGTGAATGATGGGAGGGAGTGCGGAGTGGAGACCCAAAGCCCATTAGTAGGCCACTGGCGATCCCCTTGCAGAGGGGCCTTGGGGAGGGTGAGATGTAGCAACGATGATAAATACAACTTTCCTCTAGTTCCTAAATGTTTCCTCCCCGCTCCCACTATCTACCTTGCAAGTCTGGCTTAAGTGGAGAGCAAATGTTCTGAGAATGATGAGGGCAGTGAATGTACAAATGCGCTTGACACAATTGATGTATGTATGGATTGTGATAAGAGTTGTATGAGCCCCTAATAAAATGATTTAAAAAAATCATAATTATCAAGTGTTCATGAGGAAGGGAGGGGGAAAATGAGGAGCTGATACCAAGGGCTCAAGTAGCAAGAAAATGTTTTGAGAATGTTGTACAAATGTGCTTGACACAATGGATGGATGGATTGTGATAAGAACTGTACAATCCCCCAAATAAAATGATTTAAAAGAAAACAAAAACCTGCTTTTATGAAAAAATTTACTGTGACCAGAGAGAACCTTCCCAGGTGACGCCACTGGACGCAGTAACAGAGCAAGTTGCTTGATGCTTGCCTAGCTGGAAAAATGCATGCAACCAAAGCTCTGCCCTGCCCTTGGTGCTAAAGGAAAAAGTTGAAGCTGTACTGAAAGCATTGGAATTGATGGAATATCAAATGAAAGGTTTCAATAAGCTGATGACATTTAGAAGATAGCTACTTGGCCAACTGACTAGAAGAGGTCCATATTTGTACCCATTCCAAAGAAAGGTGACCCAACAAATGTTTATATTACAGAACAATATCATTAACATTACATGCAAATAAAATTTTGCTGAAGATCATCCAAAAACGGCTGCAGTAGTTGCCAGACTTTTAGGATGGACTGACAGCAACCCTATACAGTTTCCAATCTTGCAAATCTTTATGGGAACAAACTGCCACATCTTTCGCCTATGGAGCAACTGGTGGGTTTGAACTGCCACCCTAGGGTTAGCAGCCCCATGCTTACCTGATAGCACCGTGAAATATGTTTCAAATAGCCATTCTGCCTCAGTTAAGTTGTGGAGATTATTTTGCAAGTCAAAGCCAACTAACCAATCGCTTCTTGGCCTTTTGGCTAATGTCAAGTGTAAAACCAACTAACCAGCCAACCAAAACTCTCACACAAATCCAAAACCTAACTCTTCACACTACAGTTGTCAAAAAGAATGGTGGTCTTTTGATCCTCAGGCCCTTGCTCACCTGGCAAGGCTCTGAAGTGGCCGATGGTGGCTAGTGGAGGGTTTTTCTGGCCTCATAAAGCTTTCCCCTCTTCGCAAGGCTGAAGGTCCCAAAGAAAATATAGGAAGAGTGGAGTATGGCTTGGATGGCAGACGCATCTATTATGAAAAAACACAACCGAGAATGAACAATACTGTTAAAGATGCAGAACCATTAAAATTAATATCAATTGTAAATGAGGCAGATATATCTTACCTTTCTGCAGCACTGTGAGCACACTGGCCTGCACACAAAATCAAAAGTATTATTTGGCATGATGCTATGAATGTGACTGGAGAGCTAAAACCACCATCCCTCACAGAGCTGTAAACTCTCTGAAACGTCTACAGAATGTGGCAGATGATGCGACTGTGGATGTTCAACAGAACAAGCAATTTACAAAACTTCCCTCTCACATTGTGTCCTATAGAAGGCTTGAATGACCTTTGTTTGGAATTTCCTTATGTCTGTACAGGGGTTACATTTTCCTGTACAAGTACAACATATTATTAATCTTGCTTATGTGAAAAAGTGACTCACAGGAAAACATTTCACAGGCTCACTATCAAATAATTGTGTGGTACCCTCCAAGCTAGCACAATATATAACATTTCCAATATTACTCCTGTGTAGAAACATGATGAAAACATTAAAGCAACTGGTATTTATTTCATAATTACTAAATCTCTATTTTCCTCAATTACAAAATGCTTTACCTCTTACAGAACTGGCAGGTGTAAGACCAGGTGAAGAAGGAAAATCTCCTGGTTCGGCAACAAAAGCAGAGCTAAGAAATACAAGTTTAAAAGGAGAGGGGAAGAAAAGGAGAATGAATAAAATCCAGAAACTATTTTTGTGTTTGGCTCTGTGATAATTATATTTTAGTTCTGTGTGTAATTATAATTCTGCTCTAAAAGGTAGTAGAAGCTTAGGTGCTAAAAACTGAGAGGCTGGAATTCAAGCCCACCCAGCAGCTCTGCTGGAGAACAGTCTAGTGCTCTGCTCCCATAAAGATGACAGCGTAGAAAACCCTATCAGGAAGCCGTACTATATCACCGGAGGCTGCTATGAGTTGATGGCACCTAATAACAGCAACACTGGACCCAGCTTTCTGTAGAGACTAACATTACCATCTACTCAGAAAGGTAGCAAAAGGTCACAGGTATCAGGTATCTCACTATTGTGGAAGCAATCTAAAGTCCGCTTCTGTTTCTCAGATATTTTCTTTACAAAAAAAATTTTTTTTAGCTGAAAATTAACCAAATGACTTTATTTTTCTGGGTCCTGCAAATTTTACAAATTCAACTGTGTGGTTTCTCATGTTAAGAAACTCAACCTCACTTTATAATTTTGAGTTTTCCTTCTCTGAAAGATTTCTAACGTACATAGGTTCTGGTTTTTCAAAGTGTGTGTACATGCATGCATGCATTTTATTAAGGGCTCGTACAACTCATCACAATCCATACATACATCCATTGTATCAAGCACATTTGTACATTTGTTGCCATCAACATTCTCAAAACATTTGCTTTCTACTTGAGTGAGCCCTTGGTACCAGTACAAATCTTTTAAAATAATAAGGAATAAGTGCAAACATGGCTTCAGGAAGGCATGCCATTATTTATTATGATTGCTTTTAAGCTTTCCATCAAGTTCAATTCCTACGGGAGGAACAAAAATACAAGACTTTGTCTACTCTAGCTAAAACATCTTGCCTCCCACAACTCCTAGAAAATTCTGTGCTAGCTCTGAGGAGTCATGCTGTTAGTGGACCATTGTTCTAAGTCTTTTAATCAATCAACTTTAAACAGCTCTACCTTCCCTTTTTTCAGGGCAGTGTAGACATCCTTGTACTGCTGGTACTTCTCTAGCTCAGCCTTCACCAGGACCTGGCGGATATGCATCACTTCTTCAACGGTCAGAGCAAGGCACTCCACTGGGTAGCAAAATTCCTCCTGAAAATCAAGATTTCCACATGACTAGAAACCCTCACCCCTCTTTTGGCACTAAAAACAAACATCTCCTTTTCGATCAGACACCTGGTTAGTAGCTTTAGAGAAGAATACAGATTTCCCAGTGAAAGCTGGACCCACGCTGGCTCACTCTGGAGTACCACATGATTTTCGAACTACTGGCAGCAGAGAGCCCAGAACTTCGGCAACTCTGTGCAACGAGTGCAGCCTCTCGAACTTTCCATTAAGGAAAGATCTGCATTTGTTCAGATACTTCCATTGCAGTAAGCTTATTCCATTAGCTAGAACTGTTTTCTCACATTGAAATTGTGAGGGGGAAGGGTTTAAACCAATTTAATGTTAGTTTTATCCTATGATTTATGTAAAGACATTACTTGATGTTGTGTTACACACTAGATGCTACTAGATAAATAGAAGATTTACAAGACTGATAGTTTGTGGTACCCAGAATAGCCAAAAGAAGGTGGTTAGTATTTGATACGGAGAAGCATTTTTTAGTGGTTAGTTACATCACATCTAGAAAAATGCTAACGGCCTACATGGAATTTGAGCATTAACTTATTCTATTTCAAATTCAAAAGGCAAACTATACAGGTTGGCCTGTACATTTACCCAGATTTTTGCTACTGTTTTTAAACAATTTCTCATTGCATAGTCAGCATTAAAGAAATGTCACTGTGTGCACGGAATTTAACACTGTTTATAAGTCTTATGCTAATAGTCTCCTTAAAAACAGTGAAGTAAGCTAAGATGTTGATGTAACTGATCCCGCTGAAAAAAGAGCCTTCCACGATCTGTGCCTTCCCTGGCACGTGTCTGATTGAGCAGATCTCAGAGAAAGACAGAACCAGCCCATGCATTCCGGACATGCCCTGCCTTGCCTTACAAGGGCTATTATGGTGTCAGAGACTGAAGCCCACAGCTCTCTTCACAAACACACAGTAATCTATGCCCACTCCTCAGCGCTGCTCAAGGTTTCCAGAGTTAGAATAGGTCAGATGAGAAAGCACAGGACTTTCCCAATGCAGCCAGATTTTGTGGCTCTAGAATTCAGTTCTGTCTTTCAATCTGAGAAAAGTAAAAACAGATCTATGTTGTAAATTGCACAAACATTAGCATTTACTAAAATAATAGTTTGAAGAACTGCTTCTTACTAAAATCAATGCAAAATGATCTCTGTTCAAGCTAACTCAATTTCCTAAAGTGATTTGAACAAATCCTATGTTTGAATTTTTAATTTGGAGGGTGGGGAGGGTGGGTTATTTAAAAGACCACTCCTTTCTTATTTGCTCTGAGGTGTCCCAAACCCTTAAAAAAACAAAACAAAACAAAATCCACGCATCACACTGTTTCCTTTTCCAGTGGAAATGATCTTCAAAGATAATCGGGTTAAATTGGTGTTCAATATCTACTCTACTCTGCTTCAACCTATGAAAAGAGGGCAATTGTTCAATGAGAACAAAGAAATTGCCCTTTGAAGTCATTAAAACTGTGTCTTGAAGAAGAGTTGTGGGCTACACATAGCCAAATGGAAGCATTTCTCATCTTTTAATATACCTCATTAGGCATTTTCCTCCTGAACTAATATTAGTCAGCTGTGTTGAATATGACTCTGGTGTATTTTCTAAGGGTAGACAATATGATAAATTGTTGAGTTCCAACAAAATAATGCATTAATTCAGCAAATGATCATGTAATCACTACTTGATCATGCATGCTAAGAAGATAGCAAATAACACCAACTTAATTTATATTTAAATTGGGATACTTGGCGCTGTGGTAAACATTTCAAGTGGACTGGTAATAATTTTTTTTTAATTTACAAGGGTATATTAGCATGCTTAATAAACCTGACAGCTTGTACTTTTCTCAGCTTCATTCTTAAGTAAAAAATGCTTAGCCAAGCATGTTCAATTTACTGTTTTAAAACATGTTTAAATTCAGTACTTTGTGAAATATTTAAGAAATTATATGCTATTTTTTTACTTTATTGTATATGGTTTTTTTTAAACAGACTACCTATTACTAAATTTTTTATTGGGTTAAATGCTAATGTTTTAATTCTGGAGCTTTTCCAAGGACAACAAGACTTTAATGCAACATGAAAGAATAATAATTTCTAGAATAGATTCAATTGACAAAGATATACAAATTCAGCCTCCCAAAACTAAATAAAACCTTTCTCTATCTTGCTGAAATGCTAATGCTCTAAAATGTACTGAACACTTGTGGTTGTAATCAGGTATGGGAAATCCACCCCAGTCATGAAGCCTGAAGCTTGTTTGGTGGCTAGCCTAAACCCTTTTTCCTCCTTGCTTCTTTCAAATTTAGGAGAGAGGAACAAAATCTAAAAAATAAAGATCACAGGTTCCCCCAGGAAGATATATGCCTGTACCCCGTTTTTTTATGCGCAGCATTAAAATATATTAAGTTTTTGGTCAGAAATCTGGTTATAGATGTCCATTCAAAACAGGTCAGTTAAGGAACATACATAAACTCGAGCATTACAAGTAAGTTCAGCCACTGAGCCAGAGATAAATGGGAATAGTCAAGTTTCATATACTGTTGATGATTAGTAATAACTTCATAAATAAGTAGCATATATTTAAAAATTAAGAACAGTAACAATTAAGTTTAATTACTTTTTCTCTTCTTTTTAGTTCAACCTTAAAACTCCAGTGAATCATCCCTTTGCCTAGCATGTGGACGGTGTATAATGTCCCTGTTCAGGAAAGTGTGACAGACGGTAAACAGCCATCCCTTCAAGTGGCCAAATGGCCAGATCTAATAGTAATAAGGAACAGATGTTTACCCTGTATTTTATGGCCAAAGAAAACAAAACAGTAAAATGAATTGGAGGAATTCTTTTGTATCTCTTTAACATTCAGAGTCTCATCTTTAAAGCAAGACAGAAAAAAAAGATTCTAGTTGGTGGCTCATTGTCTGGGGCACATTGAATAGAGAAGGCCCCAACCACACGGTCGGCAGTTCCAAACCGCAGGAGAGAGTTAAGGCTTCCTACTCCCATCAAAAGCTACAGTCTCAAAACCCAACAGGTTTTGCCAGTTCACTCTGTCCCATAGGGTCACAAGGAGTCAGAATAGTGAGCTTTGTTGCTTACAAATGAGGGGCCAAAGGGGTGTGATTTTTATTTCACTAGAGTTTTGAAATTATTGCTTTCTTTAAAAATGTGAAGCCCCAAGCCAAACACATCTGTTGATTCTGATTCTAATTACAGTAAAATTATCCTGGGTAAAATCTCAAAAACATTAACTATAAAATATAACCCCTGACAGTCCAAATACAGCTTTATGAAAGGCAATGGGGAAATGAAGATTTCCCCAAATCCAGGGCAGGCTCATCATGGTCTGGGGTACAGGAAATGGATAATGGGCAGGTGGAGTCTAGCATGCTCACTTCACTTGGCTGGAGCTGCTGGCTCCGGCATCTGGGGAGGAAGCAAATGTGTAACAAAAATTTGGGGAGTCCCTGAGGGAGGCACGAAGCCAGGACAATACATCCATCCTCTATAAGAAACAAACACAGGTCCCTCTCATCTGAATGCTGCATTTTGAGTTTGTTGTCCTTACAAAGTTATTTCCTCTCAACTAAGGCAGTGGTGTGATGTAAGCATGCTACAAAAGATTGGAATCAACAATCAGAAGCAAAGTACCCTTCTAAGCTGTTAATTCTCCTAGAGTGTTGTAGTTGAGGTATCATTGTCAAAAAGAAAGAGTAAAATAATACCCAGAACCAGCAGAAAGAGGCCAACCTTTGAGGATTTCCACCTGCTTGTAAAAGCTCTCTCACAGAGATAATACATAGCCCCTGCTACCCCAAACATGGCTGCTTCAAAAGGATGAGAGCTGAGCAGCGAAGCTGTTTGTATGGTAGAAAAAAGTGGTCGGAAAGGCGTCCTTGGCCATATACTGGTTATCCTAGGAACCTGAACAATAGATAAGGAAAAAAAGAAATGGCAGGGGGGGAAAAGCAAAGGCAAAAATGAAGCTGAACATGAATGACCTACAAATCGTCCTTGATCATGAAAGAAAACCATCATGGAGCAAAAGCACTACGGCACACATCAATGGAGACCCATGAGGGCGGTCATGCCCACGCCTAGAGGAGAATCAAGTCAATATTCCAACCAGACAGTCATTCCTGGAGAGGCCCGGAGTTTATGCTGAAAATGTAAACTTAGGAGTGGACGCTAGGCCCTCACTTGCTCCTGCTTATGGAAATGTTGCCTTTTACTTGCATGGGAAACCACCATTAGTCATTTACCAAAATGGTGAAAAACAACATTGTAAACATTTAAACATTTTAAACCTGCTAAGGAAAGAGAGGGAGATAGAACAAAAGTAAGGATTACTAATAAAAGCATTTCTGCCATTTTCGTCGAGGGCTTAAATACAAGGATTGCATGTTCTTAAATGAAGCTAAATGTTAAAATTTATTATATTTTACAAATAATACTTACCAAGTTAGAGTGAATTGTATGAGTTTACAGACTGCTCAAGACAAGTTACTAACAAGAAAAGTTCTCCCTTTGACCTGATATCTGCTTCAGCTGGTCCCAGAGGCACTTGGAAGAGGCCTTAATTTTGTGTGGATGCCATGCTCCCAGTCTGTGACCTAAACATTTTAGAGTGTCACCTGATGGGGACTCACTCATCCTTTTCACTTAGACCTCTGCTGGTGCTGCTCAGTGGGGTTATCTTTGTTTCCCTTCTACACAGCAAACAGCTTCCAGTTGAATCAAGCACAAAGTGAGAGTTCAGCTTCACTATGGTCACTAGATATGAACTGATGGCCTTTCTTGGCAAATCTTCTGACAACAGTTACCTGAAATTACTTGATGGTTTATATGGTAATTATTTTCATTAGTATTTTAACCTTATGTTAGTTTTAACCTTAATAGTGACATTATATAGTCACAAACACTAGGTGGACGACTGAATGACAGAATGACTTTTAGGAAGAGCTTGACAAAAAAAACATTCTCATTATTGGACTTAGGGGGAAAAAATCACAAAGGCATTCCCTATTCTTATTTTAAGTTGTGACAACAATATATAATTCACTAAAGCAGCAACTTATTTATATTAATGCTTTTAGATTTTAGTTTAAATCTGGTGAAGTTTCTGCACTTAAAAATATTATTAATAATTTTATTGGGGGCTTTTACAAATCTTAAAACAATCCATCATTCAACTGTATTAAGCACACTATACATATGTTGCCATCAGCATTTCCAAAACATTTTCCCTCTACTTAAGCTCTTGGTGTCAGTTCCTCTTTTTCCCCCCTCCCTCCCGCACCTCCCCACCCTTGTGAATCTTTGAACAATTATATATTATTATTGTCACGTCTTACACTCTTTGTTGTCTCCCTTCACCCACATTTCTGTTATTCTTCCCCCTGGGGAATGGGCTATACATTCAACCTTGTGATGGGTTCCCCTTTCTGCACCCCCCCCCCCCCCCCCCCCCCCCCGTCCCCCATGAAAACGCTACTCCCACTACTGTTCCTGGGGGTTTATCTGTTCTGAATTCCATGGAGTTATGCTTTCTTATTGTTAAATCTTGAGGCAAGGATATATGAGAAGGTTTCAATAAGTCTGTGGAAAATAGAATTAAAAGATAATTTTCCACAAACGTTTTGATGCCCCCTAGTATTTCACCAAATGGTCATTTTCCGGTGATTATTTAAGGCTTAGAGGATTCCTAATTGTATTTTCTGGGAACAGGGATGATCAACGAAATTTAACATTGTATGCTCTGTGTGGATTTAGTATCTTTATAATAACTATACTATTTCCCTCTAGTTGCTCTTCTTTTCTCCTAGCATAAGGGAGGGACATTGTTGTTCATTAAAACCCTGATGATTCATAAAAGTCTAAAATACATCGACTAAGCACATGCCACTGTTTTTATCCTATATACCGGAAACAAAAGCATGAGCTATTAAATGGTGTGTGTATTGATTGATTTAAGCTTTGCATCTGACTTTCAAATACTCCCGAAACCAAGTGTGGCTACAGAAGAATCTCTGCAGACCTCTTTTGGTTGGTGTATCCATTGATGTGCTTCCTGCTAGGGGTCTAGTGCACTACACACGCAGTACTAGTGTACTACGGCCCACTGCCCTGAAAAACAGGAACCCTCTAACCAAGTAACAGCACGGACAAATCCCTAGAAAAGGCACCCTGTCTGATAAAGTGAGGGTCCGTGGAAAAGAAAGAAGACCCTTAGCGACAAGCAGGCGCGGCAATGTTTCATTCTGCTGCACACGGCTGCTATGAGTCAGAACTGACTCGATGGCACCGAACAACAACAAAACCACAACAAAGAAACACGGGTAGAGGGTCAACAAAATAGTGTGTGATCACAATGCAATGGACTGATACATCAGTTGTAATAATGGCTTCAAACAGCAATGACTGTGTGGCTGGTCTAGAACTGGACCATGTTTTGTTCTATTGCACATAAGGTAGTTATGAGTTGGAGCCAGTAAAATGAAAGTTAACGACAACAAAACAAACCTAGATGTCTCCTGGAAGACAACAAATAGTTAACCACATATCAGCTCTGGTTCCCAACAGCACAAAGCATATGTAAAAACAATATACAATGGCAATTGATGGATCAAAACTCTCCCTCCTCATTTTGTTTTAAAAAAAGAGTCTACTTTAATTAAACCATACTAAGAGTTTGCTTTGAAAAAATTAAGATTTAATATTTTTAAATAGGTCCTTCAAAGAAAGCAGCATTTTAAAAAATAATTATAATTCATGGTTTCAACCTGGTAAGTCTTCTGAAGGAAGAAAAAGTACTCAAAATGAACAAAGGATAATCAAACATCATTTAGTTACTACTAAGGTGTGCTTTCTTTGGTTATTAATAAATGGGGTTATTTAAAATTCATTTGAACCTTTAAAAGTATTTTTTTTTAAAATATACATTTTTTCCCCTTATTTTCTCAAGAAAGCTAATGACTCTAGGCTTTCCTACTGATCCTTAAGATACTAAATCTTTGGATTACTTACCAGAGATCTGGAACTCTGCTTGGATGGTGGCAGGAACTGCCTAACATTAGTAGGTGTTTCCTTTTCAATGGAGTGACGTCTCTGGGGTGGCTGCCGTCTCTCTGGCTGGGGTGTTGAGGATATGGGCAAGAATTTTGGAGGCTCTAAAGATTTAACCAAATGAACTCTTACAAAACCTTAAATGTTGAATGTACTAACTCATTATTTGTGACAAACATGGCATTAAAAATGAAGTATTTATTTCACTGGAGGGGCATACTAAGCTGTAGATCTTGGGGAGACTTTGAAGAGTGACATAAGATATTCAATGTTTAATACTCATGAAAATTCACACAAAAAAACAAAGTATAATATTAGCTCAGATTTCTACATGGTAATGTCCTCTTATTACTCTCCATAGAATTTTACAAGGAAAGAGTAGAAAGGCATTTAAAAAAAACAACATATAAAAATATGTATTCTGCATGGCCACAAAACAAAAGAAAGCAAAGCAAAACTAAATAAAACACTCTCAAATCATTCTGAAATTCCTAAGTTTACCCTCTTTTTAAATTTTTAAAAAATTTAAAAACATCTACCAGACATTTATCAAGGCTTATTTGTCTTTAGATTTAAATTTATTTTAAATAATAAAAATATCAGCTATGATATTAATATTGTACCATTATTCTCTCTTGTTTGGCCTTATTTTGGGATAAGGCTTAACAGGAGAATGTTTTAGGGTCTGAGTGGTTCTAAATTCACAATTTGAAAATATTAGGACAAGCAAAATAAAATCATGCTATCAGGGTTGTATTTGATATTTCCTCCTATGAGATCTGCTTGATGTTGTGGGTAGAGGGAAGTGCAACTCAACAGAAAGTTAAATATGATTCATATATTTGTACTGTACAACCAAAAGGAATCACTCAAAGAACTCAATGAATATAATTCCAGGCAAGAAAAGACATACAAGTGGCCTTTTTGCTTTTATTTGGGACCCTGTAGTATTTAATCGACATGGCCATATACCTACTACAGAAAATCAAGCACCTTCTATTATTTATGATTGAATTTATTTAAGTAAATCACATTATTTAAATAGTTTTAATCCTTAAAACATCTGTTTGTGGGAAATCAAGTATTAAAACACTATTAAAAACATTTGGAAACTGCTTAACCTTAGATACCTATGTCTATAATCTATTTGTGAAAGTGTGTGTAGGGGAGGGAATGATTTATGGAATTATTTAGGGATTTTGGCTTAAATTCAGATAAGATGATAATCTAAATGTACAGGTAAATAAATAAAACAACTGATTTGTTTCCTACAATTAAAAAATATTATCTGTAAACACAAATGTTATTAGATGTGCTGCAAGTGAAGAACTTCAGACCCAGTTACCAGCTTAGCCATACAGTATCATGCAACATCCAGAAAATAACTATCTTTTAGTACCTGACTAGTGAAATTCCAGGGTTAGTTGTTTCTATCCCAAATTTACCATAGGGCACTCTGGGATTTCTGGCTAGGTCCAGTGTATGTGGGAACAGTTGTGAGTCTGCTATTTGTACCACAAATACTTACTCTTCTTTGTGGACACCGTCTCTAGTAAGGGGTCTTCGAAGAAGGAGGGGGAAACACTGCTGCTGCTAGGTGACTTATGGAGAGCTTCTTCCTGGGAACAGGATGGGCAGAGGAGATGTAGAGTTTTCTTACACAGTGCTCTCATGCTAATTAAGAATATTTAAATTAATAAATACTTATTTTTAAATGAAGCACTAAGTTACCATGTCAAAGGTTCAAGGGAATATGAGACAACCTATAAGGAATCTATAATTGACAAGTTTGAATTGCGTTATGGTTTGGGCCCTCATGAGGCCAGTGACATTAAGCGAGTTTCTTACCATCGTTTCTTAATTTGTAAAAGGGGGTACATAATAATGGCAACTTTTCTACATGACCATTAGAAGGATTAAATGGAACAACAGTTCAAAATGCTAAATATAATATCTGGAACTCAATAAATGAGAGATAATATTATTAGAAGACTATTTAGCACATTTATAAAAATAAAAAAAATTCAGCCTCATTAGGGTGAATGCTTTTTAGGTCATGAAAATAAACATTTCATGAAATTCCATATAAATAAGAAATGTGTTCACTGAGTCAAATGATATTTTAACACATTTTGTCAATGAAAAGAAACTTTCTTAATTTGTTTTAAGACTAAACCAAGATGAAGTAGAATATTTATTCATGAAATGTCACTTCCTGAGTGACAGGAAATACAATAAACTAGACGGCAAGAAAATTGTACTCCATTTGGTACAGATGGTGCTAATTATTTTTGTGTATAGAAGCAACAAAAATTATGTAAATATATTAATACATGACTACGAGATACATAGTGACAATTCTCTTTGACCTATTGAGCTCAGGTGTCTTTAAGAACTGTCCGTTCACTAATGACCTGTCTCACCTAAAACTTACTGCTTAAATCACTAACTTCAAACAAGACCCCAGTCAATGAGTAGGCCATTTCTGTGTACTCCCCATCCCTTGTACAAGAGGGTCCTTCCCTGCCCTTGCTCTAACCGACCCAGGCAAACCTCTTGCCTCTCTGGAATCTGGGGGTCCTGTGTGGATAGCAGACCATGTATCCTTGATGTAAACACCCTCACTACCCAAGCAATACCTTGGCCCCAACCCCCAGCACCTTTTTTCTTTCTCCTCTCTCTGTACCTCTGTCAGCCTCGTGGTCCTGTGGGGCATCCTAGGTAGACAGAGGCACACCTTCAGATCCAGGCACACTCACCCAATCAGGTTTTTTGTTTTTTTTAAACAAACAATCCAGATTTATTTTCTTTTCCCATGAGAGCAAAGAACTGCCCATGCTCACTGATAAAAAACTGAACTTTGCATTCATACTAAAGCCATGCCCAGGTATATTTTTCTTTCTCATCTCTGCACATTTACATTTTTTACCTCTTCATATTCTTCCTGTCTTTTTCTTCTTCTTTTGTATTCTCTTCCTTCTCTTTCATTTAATTTTACTTCTTCTAAATAAGTACATATACACATAGATACACATTTGTGTGTATATATTTAGAGGAAGTACAGGAAGAGGAGATATATATCTCCTACTATATATCTCCTGATTATATGCTTACACTCTTCTCCTGTGACATCCACTACCACTTTCTGCGTGCTCCTTTCCTTTGTGAAATGTTTCCACCATAGGTAGTAATTCTTATGAACCCTCCTATAATACATTTTTCTAATATTTGTACAAACCTCTTGAGTCTATTCAAGTGGCTCCTTATTATTGCTTTTATTATATTCTCTCTTTTTTACTCCCCATATTCCTCTCTCCTTTTTTCTCCATTTCCTCATTGTAGGTTTTCTGGCTCCTATTAACCTTCCTTTGTGCCATTAGACAAAGACAACAATCCCTACATGAACCAGAAGCACACACACTACTAATAACAGCACCAAAATGCTGTGGAAATAGCAGTCAAATTAAATACACCAAAAACACAAAACCTGAAAATTGTCTAAACCCAATGGAATACTCGGGGGAAGGGGAGAGACCTTGAAATTACCAGAAATAAAATTCAGAAGACTAGTGTTAAGGTATCTTCAAGAGATGTAGGGAATATTCATGAGAACTGCAATACTAGAAACCTTACACCAACAGGAATCCCAGAAGATAAACAATAAGGTAACAGAATTAGGCAACATGGGAAAAGCACTGTGTGATAGAATGGAAGAAAAGAAAAAAAGCGAATCAGTGACAGGAAATACAATAGCTCTGACTACCACTGACAAGAGAAATAATCAAGAAAAAGCAAAGAAATCTGAATAAATCCTGAGAATGAGGTGGAACACTATCAGAAGAAACAATCTATGTCTCATTGGGAACACAAAGCATGACCTGCCCTCTCCAAAAAAATCTACAGATAAAATAGTACAAGTAGTCAGGGAAACAATTTATCCAACATCATAAAGGAGAGAAAATAACAATCCCAAAAGCTGAGAGAACTCGCCACTGATTTCCTCAGAGCAAAACTATGTGACATATTATAGTTAAACTTTCCAACAGCAAGGAAAAAGAGAATACTGAGTGCACCCAAGGAAAAGAGAACACAACAGAGTGACAGAAAGAATTCTGAAAGAAAAACAAAAAACCCTGCCAACTAAGAATCGTATGTCCCTCCTGAAGATACATGCAAAATTCCTAAGAAAATTCTGGCCAATAGAATCCAACAACATATCACAAACATAATTCAACATGTTCAAGAGGGATTCATACCAGTGATGCAAGGATGGTTCAATGTTAGAAATACAAGCAATGTAATTCACCACATAAACAAGAACCACACGATCATATCAATAGATGCCACGATCATATCAATAGATGCAGAAAAGGTATTTGACAATACCCTAAAACCCATTTCTGGTAAAAACACTCAACAAAATAGAAGAGTAATGCCACAACATAATAAAGAACATATACAAAAACCAATGGTCAACATCACACTCAACTGAAAAAACAAAAGTAAACTAAAAAGAAATCCCAAAATTTTAAAACATTTCCCTGGAGAACAGCAAGCAGATGAGGATCTCCCTTATCACCATTCTTATTCAATATCATGCTGGAAATCTTATCCAGGACTATAGACAACAGAAAGAAATCAAAGGAGAACAATTTTTATACCCAGAAAACACCAGACGCCAAAAAGAGGTTGTTGGGTACAATTGAGGGAATAGGTCAAATAGCAGGATATAAGATTAACATAAAAAAGTCAATTGGATTCCTTTATACCACAGAAGAAAGCTCTGAAAAAGATATCAAGGAAAAACCATTTACAATAACGACACAAAAGATGAAATACACAGGCATAAACCTAACCAGAGAAACAAAAGGTCTGTACAAAGAAAACTACAGAACACTATTACAAGAAACCAAAAGAGACCTGTACAAATGGAAGACTATCCCATGTTCATGGATAGGAAGACTTAATATTGTGGAAATGTCACTACTATCCAAGTAAACTAAAAATACAATGCAATTCATCCAAATCCCAACTTTATTCTTTAAAGACATGGAAAAAATAATTACCAAGTTCATATGGAAAAAGGGGCATAGAATACGCAAAAAAATATAAGTAAAAAAAAAGGAGACTTTTCACTAGCCAACTTCAAAAGTTATTATACATCTAGAGGATTTAAAACAATCTGGTATTGACACAATGACACATACATACACTAATGGAATAAAATAGAAACCCCCAAATAAATGCATTCACCCAAAGGCAACTGATTTTCAACAAAGGCTATAAGGATCACTGATGAGAACATCTGGACAAAGGTTAGTGCCCTGTTGTACAACATACATATATTACCAAATATAATAAAGAAGTCACAAACAGTAACAAACAAAATAGATGACTGGGACCTACTTAAAGAACCAGAAAAAAAGATACTTAGGCACATAAAAAAGTTTCTTTAAGGAAGAGAGAGAGAGAGAGAGAGCGAGCCCAAGGACTGGAAAGAAATCTTTAGCAATGTCACAATGAGGACAGCACCAAATACTGTTATAGAAATCTTCAACACTTCAATAAGAAGAAAAATACAATTAATATATGGGTAAAGGACATGACCAGACCATTTACAAACAAGACACTCAAATGGCTAACAAACATCTGATCACTAGGCAAGTGAGAGATTCAAATCAAAACAAGGACACATTATCATCTTAAATCCACAGAGACCCCAATTCAAGGAAAAGCAAGGAAACCAAAAACGGTGCAGAGAGCTGGGGACACTGATAGTGGGCGTTTAAACATATATGACTATTGTGGAAAGCAATACGGAGCTACCAAAAACAAATGGGAATATGGCAAAAATAAACCCGTATATACTCGAGTATAAGCCGACCTGGATATCAGCCGAGGCACCTACTTTTAACACAAAAACTGCATTAAAAATGTGCTAAGCAGCTCCTTTGCTCCCCGGCCTGTCCCCTCCTGCCCAGCCATGCTCTCGTCCTTGCCCGGCCAGCCCCTGCTCCCAGCCGCAGCTTCAGCGCCTCGGCCCAGAACCAAGCTACAGCCGCCATGCGGGCGCTTCCGCAGGAGGCGGGCAGCCCCTCTCACTTCTCCTGGACAACGGCCCCTGGGTGAGCCGTCTGACCCTCCACGACATCGCGCGGACCGCTGGAGTAGACGGCGACCTGAGCCACATCGGGACCAGAGCCCATGTGAAAGGGTGCATCGGACCCGAGCAGAGTCCAAGGTTGCCACGTCGCGGTCATCCCAGCGGCCGTCCCAAGAAAGCCAGGCAGGGCACGGAACGACCTGTTCAACACCAACGCCACGCGATCGTGGCCACCCTGGCGGCCGCCTGTGCCCAGCATCGCCCGGAAGCCATGATCTGCCTCATGGCCAATCCGGTCAGCGCGACCACCGCCATCACCACGGAGGTGTTCAAGAAGCACGGAGTGGACAACCCCAAGAAGACCTGGGTGACCACCCTGGACGTCGTCAGGGCCAAGGCTTTGTGGCGGAGCTGAAGGGTTTGGACCTGGCTCGAGTCAACATCCTGTCATTGGTGGCCATGCAGGGGAGAGCATCTCCCCCTGATCTCCCAGCGTACGGCCGAGGTGGACGTCCC